AGTGTGACCCCACTTGGGGTTCAGACCCTGCTGTGGGGTTCAGAGCCAGCAGCCTCGAGCCCTGGTGAGTCAAACCACAGCCATTGCAGGGGCACATCCCCTCCCAGCCCTGCTTATCCCCCAGAGGTGAGGATGCTGTTTCCCTGGGGACAACTCTCAGCGCAAAGGCCGGTCTCCAGGATGGGGACCTCCCGGAGGGGGGTGAACAGCAGGCAGGAGCAGGGAGCACAACTTTGCTATAGGAAGGGGTGAGCAAGTAGCACCTACTGGAGCTGCTGCACCATGGGAGGGCTTTGGGGCACCCCACAGTGCAGGCTGCTCCCAGCAAAGGCATTGTGGGAGCTGCTGGCACATCTCACCCTGGCCCTTACTTTGTGCCTGTCAATAACGCTGGGGCTCTGGGCTGGCAGAGGGTTCGGTGTATCTGGTCCAGCACAAGGGCTGCTCACCTGGGATAGAGCTGGTGGCACGTCCCACCCCGGCTGGCCCCGCAGCCTGCCTGCCGTACGCTGAGCGGACAGAGCTGCCCCTCCGTGGCTCCCTTGCGCTCGGGGCTGACGCGGTGGCCTAAAGCCAGAGTCCTTCCCCCTCGGCCGCCGGCTCTGCGCATGCGCTGTGCAGGCCAGGCCATACCGCTGTATTGCAGCACCATCTAGTGCTGTGGGATGGGGAAGCCCAGCACCCCAACATCCGAGCTGTGGCAGCACCGGCGGGACTGGCCAAGGCCAAGCTGCCAGGGGACCCTAACATGCTGTTGGTGAGGACGGACGGGTGGCACAGCGTGTCCCCTGGCTTGGGGCAGCCAGAACTCGCCTGTTTCCCTGTGCCCTGCTCTATGTTAGGGAATATCCTGTGAGAATCCCAGGAAGCATCGAGGTGCAGATGTTTCCCTGTTCCTGAGCCTAATGTGCCTGGCCTCAGCTGTTGGTTTTGCCACTTCCTCCAATGGATATAAGGCCTCTGCCCAATCCTCGTGCCACTTTTGCTTCTCTATCAGCCGGATGACCCCAGCACTGTAAGTCTCTCATTGTCAAGGTCTTCATTCTCATAGCATCTCCCACAGTTCCCTGGTGCTCATGTTCCATACCTGGTGTGAGCGTGACCCCATCCCACAGCTTGTCAACGTTCCCCTTTTACACACCTGAGGGAATGCCAACCCTTACAGCCTGGCTTTTGGGACATCTGGAGAGCTTTCTGCAGCACAAGTCCTACTGTGCTCTCCTTCCTTGCCTCTGCATCCCAGCTCATCCCCTCCCAGCTCTTCACCTCCCTCAGGTGCTTGCCACACTCCCTGCCTTGCCTGGCACTGGGAGAGCAGGCTGGGTTTGGCACAGAGCTGGGTGCCATAAGAATGGGAAGCTCTGCAAGAGGGGCTGTGGTGATGGCTTGCCCCACTCCCCTCCCACAGTGTGGGGTACTGGTGGGGAGCACTGGTGTGGTGGATGTCGGATGTGCAGTGGAGTGAGGTGAGTGCTCAGTCCCAACAGAGATTGCATCCAGATCCCATAGCACCGACAGGGTTGATGGCCTGAGGCTCCCTAGGGCAAGAGGAGTTTGGCACCTTCAGCTGAAAAGGGGCCCTTTGGCAGCCTCTGCCCTGGCTGCCCTCCTGCCTTCGAGGATGGAAGGGGCTGTGTTCAAGTGACCTGGCAGTCCTGAAGTCCCTTTGTGCAAGCAGTTTGATGCCTGGCTGCACTGTCCTAGTGATCCAGGAGCGGGATCTGTGCAGCTGCACTGTCCTAGTGATCCAGGAGCGGGATCTGTGCCCCCCAAAAGGGGCAGAGGGACTTGAATCTTCCCAGCCCTCCTGCCGCCCTCGCAGTGCTGCTGGGGGAGGATGGAGCTGGTTGAGTTGGAACAGGACGGTGCTGGCCCTGCTGCCTGCCTGCCTGCTGCCACGCGCTCCCTGCCACCTGCCTGTGCTGCCTGCACTCGCAGGAAGGTAAGAGTAGCAGAGCAGGCACCGAACATAACGTGGCCCTGGGCTGTTTGTGCGCCTTTTGTTCACCAGTAACTTTCTCGGGCATCAGCTCATTAACCGCATTAGGACGGCTCTGCTTCCCGCCTGAGCGTTATCGGGCAGGGCAGATCTGGGGCACCGTGCCAGCGGGAGCCCTGCTCCACTTCACTGGGCACTCAGGCAGCCGAGATTCCCCGGTGACAGCCGGGGTAGGTAACACACTGATGGTGCTGCCTGTCGGCAGCAAGGATTTAAGAGCCTAGTGCTTGCTGTGTGGTGTGGAGGAGCTGCCCTGTTTGCATTGCAGCACACAGGCAAGACCCCAACCTGCCCAGGGTCAGGGTCCTGCTTTGCAGCCAGCCCTACTGGTGTTTTTCATTGCCATAATCCATGCCCATGCTTCAGGGAGCCCCTGTGGTGTGATGGACCACAAAACCATGCAGAGAGCTCCCCTAAAGCCAAAAGCCTGTTGTGCATCACCCTCCTCCCATGCTGCCTCGCTGCTTTTGAACAGCAGATGTGCCAAACCCCAGCTGGGAGGGCTCCCAGGTGAAGGGCAGTGAGGATCAAGCTTGCTTTGCACAAGCTTCACCCTGAATCTGTCCATGGCAGTCCCCCATTCTGTGCACAGCTCCAGCTCCCACTTGCTTCTCCATCCTTCCTCTATTTCCCAGTGTGCCCCTGTTGCCTCTGGCTGTGTACCTGGGCTCCAGGGGGCCACCCTGCTGTTGCTGCCAGGTTCCCTCCAGCATTCGGGGTGAGCCTTCTGTGGTGGGGAGCAGCCTCCCAGGCATGTTCCCAGCCTCGAGGCTGTTGCAGAAACAAATGCCCACTGCACGCTGGTGGCTGAAGGCTCTTGCACCCACCATGGGAGCTGCTGAGCCCAAAACACCCTGGCTGTGAGCAATGAGCAGAGGAAGCTGCGGGTCTTGGCTGGGATTCACTCACAATGGCTGCTGCTGCTGCTGAATTCGGCCGGTTCCCTCTCCCCAGCACTGCTTGGCCAGTCTGATGCCAGCAGCTCCAGCATGTGCTGGGAAGCAGCATCTCCAGGTGAGCCAGGGTTTGTGTGAATGGCCCTGCCTGGTGAGAGGCTCCTCGCCTGCCCCAGCCAGGTTCTAACCCCAGAATTGCCCCTTTTGCCACCATGTGGCCCTCCCCTTGTGCAGAGTCCATGCATGTGGACCCTGCTGGGGGAAATTCCCCTGCCCAGAGATGCCTGATGAGGCTGCAGGTTTCTGGGTGGGGACTCTTTTGGTAGACAAAAGGCATAACTGCTGTGTTGCTCCTCACACCCACTTCTCCCCCCACCAGCCTTTGCACAAAGGATGGCATGGGGCTGCCCTCACGATGTGGGGAGAACCACCCTGGACACATGAGCAGTTAGTGGCACACAGGTCCTGACCTCCTGCTCCTCTCTTGCCCCTTCCAGTCCCACCTTTCCCTTTGCTGGTGCCTTTGCTGGCCCCGTGTCAATGGCCCCGTGCAAGGGAACTGAGAGTTGCCAGCACCGTGCTCAGCCCCTGGGTATGGGCATGCTAAGAGCAGCCCATTAGCAGTGCCTCCTGCCCCTTCTCTCAGTGCTCTCAAATGCCCCTTAGCCCTACGGGAGGGCACCCGCAGCTGCCTGGGCCAAGCACAAGTTCCTGCTCCCAGCACGGGGGTCCTTCCCCGGGATTCGGGTGGTGTCAGGTCAGAGCACACCGACCTCTGCCCTACCGGGGCCTTTCTGCCGTCAGACCGGGCCCCGGCGTTTGCTCCGACGGTTTCTTAAGGGAGGCTTAGCCCCTCGCTGGGAGATGCTGGTCCAGGGGCGCGAGCCGGAGAGCTGCCAGCTATCTCCCAGGGAGCCACTTGAGGGCGGCAGTGACCCGCCGCAGAGCCGCCGACGCTGGCCCGGCCGGATCCAACTGGGCGAGGGGGACGAACTGGGACAGTCCAGGCCAGAAGGGTGAGGGAGGACAGGGAAGGGGCTCCGGAGCCAGCCCGGGCTTCCTCAGGATTCGCGTCCCACCGGGGCCCTCTCGCAGGGCAGCCGGAACTATCTACCCTGGGAACATCTACTGGAACATCTCTCCTGGAACTGAGCTACCTCTCTCCAGACCACCCACTTTTTATACTTTCCCTTTTTGGACACCTCCTATCTCCCCTCTGTGATGGAGATACCATCACTGGGTGTCGTTCACGCCTTGTGCAGAAGGCAGTACCAGCTGATCACTGTGTAAAGGTTGGCCTAGCACAGGCCATGCTACTGAGAAGTCTCAGCCCCATGAGTCCAGCAGGCTGAAACCCATCAGCGAGGTCTCGTGCAGAAGCTGCTACAATGGCTAACGCTCTCCTCATGGGGATTAATGGTCCAGCTTCAATTCACCTCAAGAAATTTCACGCTGTATTCCTCCCATGCACACCCAGTGGCTGAACTCAGGATCTGAGGTGATGCATTTCATTTCTCTGCGGTGCCTGAGAACTGCAAGCCCAGGCTGATCATGGTGTCAAGCAACCATAAAGCTGCCCGTGATATTTTAAGAGCAGAAGCTGGAAATGCTGTCTTCCCAAGATTAGCATGTGCTAGAACTATGAACAACAGGGGGGAAAGAGTAGCAGTAGGGCTTGAGGAGGCTGCTTTTGGTAGCTAAACTGATGCCATGTGTCATTAAAGCTGCACATGTGGGGATTGCTTGGCTCAGCCACTGCAGTGGCAGCTGTGCCTCAGTTTGCTTGGCCCTGCACAGGGCTGATGCTGGGGGGCTCAGGGAACATAGGTTTTCTGCAGGGAGCAGAACAGTGTGCAGTGCTGCTCAAGAAACAAGTGATAGCAAACAGCACAAACTGCCCTATGGGACTGGCGGACAGAAATGAGGGTGAGGAGAAGCCTTGCTCAGAGCAGTCATGAAACCTTTTCAACATGGGAAGCTGGAGGAGGAGAAATGTAACAAGGATCAGGGGGGCACAGGAAGTCCTGTTCTGCTGCTGGCTTAAGCAACAGCAGTTCATGGCTACTGCGAGTCATTGTTGTAACAGAAAGGAAAATGCACAGAGCTAACGTTTCTTCCCTTCTTTGGACGGTAGGAATGTTTTAATTGAGAAAGTTGTTTTAATTACATTAGGTGATACCACAGTCTATTTTACAAGTTCAGGTAAGAGGATGTGTGGACCAATTACACAGGAATCCAGTAAAAGGTTAAAAACCTACAACATGAGAAAAATGAAAAGGTTAACTTAATCCCCCAAAAATGAAACGTGTTGAGAGTTTAGTGTGAGTGGAAATGGGAGATTATACCAGGATCCAGAGAAGTACAAAGGATGAGACTAACGTAATTTACAGTATTGGTTCTCCATGACCATCAGTTTGCCCGTGTTCAGAGACAGCCTCTTTTCCCCAGTGCATCGCTGAGCAGCTGGTCCTGTCTCTGAGGGTTTGGTCTGGTCTTGTCAGAGGAGAAAGCAAAGTAACTGATGGGCAAAGGTCACAACCCACGTTGAGCTGGTCCCCAGGGGTCACCGCCTACAGGAGTGTCTTCCACTGGATAGTCGGGGGGTTCTGCACCAAGAACTGTATGGAGGAAAACTAAAACAGCTCCAAAAAGCCCCATCTCAAACGTAGAAAAGTCTCACTCTGGAAGTGCTTACGAGAAGATCGTCATCATAGAATTTGGTTTCTATAATAACATTACCACTGTAGAAGGAAGAGAGGAGAGAGAAGAGGTATTACAAGATTGCATGACAGTAGAAAATGACTGCTCCTCTCTGTGCTCTCACAACCCTGGGCTGTCGCCTGTCCCCCCACGTAACAGGAGCTTTGGTTCGGAGCCACATGCAACAAGCACTGTGTCCTGATCCAGGGGTGGCTGGGGCCAAAGGAGCTCCCCACTGCATTCCTACATGGAGCAGTTCTCCCCATCCCTCCCTCTCTTGTCACCCCCCCTCCAGGCACAGTACCCCACAGGCTGCAGAGGGCTCACAGCAAACATCTGCTCACTTCTACTGCTAAAATCAAAGTAAGAGTCCCAGCATGTTCAGGCCATTCTCTCCTGCAGTCAATAGTGAAAATCTTAATAAAATTCTTATTTTATTCCCCAGCTCTGTACTCTAGTGCTCAGCAAGGTACTTCAACCAACTTACTGTGGCGTTTCCCTCAAGAGTGCTTAAATGCAAACGCAAAAGCATATTTTATACAAACTGCAATGGAAGTGCAGTTTTGGGTGTCACAAAAGCTCTGGTGGTTTAGCTTGCTGACTCTCAGATTCTGGTGGATAAAAGAACTCAAGGGGCCATTACAGCACCTGGACACCTGAGCAGTGTGATCTGACTGTGTCTAAATAACATGGCTCTTGAAAATCAATGCAGCAGTACCATCTCCACTGTGGCTCTTAGTATCTGTGCCACTGGCAAAGCTGGACCTGGCAAGAGCGTAGTTTTTTGCTGCGGCGTGGACAAAGTCTGAACTCAAATGTCGGGGAATGTTCTCAGTCTGATTGCTATTCAGGAATCCCGCGCACTAAGTATCACATCTCAGTTCTTTCCTGCTATGGAGACACTGAGACAAACACAAGGTTTTTGGAAATATCAGAAGGTGAGAGGTTCTCCAAGTCTTGTCAGCTGAAAAAAGCTGATTTCTTTGGGTCACAAAACCCCTTTTGGATTTCTTTGGGCTGGTGATTCTACTGAAAAGTCTCAAGAATGACTTTAGGACACCTCCATGTATAGGAGATAGATCTTGGCTGCTCACTACAAGTCCACGCTCCAGGGAGAGAATGGGACACTGGAAAATCCTCAAGGTCACTTGAGTGAGAACTGGACTCTCATGACTCTCAGTCCTGAAAATGCCTTGATTTCCTGAGATGGTCAAAACCAACTTGTCAGATGTCTTTCTTTCTTTACTCTGGTTCCCAAATCTGGCTTCTCCTGTACTGACTGAGAGCCACCGGCTCTGGTAGCTGAGGACATGCGTAGCACCTGTGAGGTTCTGGGCAAGTATTGTGCCAGGGATTGTGCCAGGGAGCACTATTTGAACACTGGTGCTCTCTTCTGAGACTGCTCTCTGTTTGAAATGTGCTGTGAAATCAGTGATGGTAACTCCTATCCCAGTGCCTTCTCTATGCAACTGGCTTTCTTCCAGACAGGGAATGAGAGGGAAAATCCTGGAGAGGGAGGTCTTCCAGAGGACTCAGCAACCTTGCAGTGAGACTGGCTGCTCCTGTCTGCCTCTTGTTGGCAGCAGGATTCCAATACCCTTCTGTCTCTGCTGGCAACGTGTTCCTCATGTGCTTGTCAGCACCCATCTAGCACTGCAGGGAAGGTGGCTTTTTGTCAGTGATTACAGTTTCCCAGGGGCCTCCCTCGAGGAGCCTTTTCTGTTTGTCCCTGTGTGCCTGGCTGTCCACACTCAGAGTGGTGCCCAGCATGCACCACTATGATACAAGCCCACGGGATCGCTCACCTGCTGACAACTCAGTGTGCAAACAGTGGCCAGGACCAGATGTTTCTGAGGGAAGTGTATGAACACCATTACAGGTGACTGTAAAATGACTGTTTGCTATCTGTTAAGGACATTTTATCCCCAGATACAGCTCTGTGTGGCTAAATGTATGGTTTATAAGCCAGTGTAAAAGACACAAAGCTTGGCAAAATGGTAGGGAGCTGAAACAAAATGCTAGAGCAGCTCCTATGGGTGATACATTGCATGAAAAATAGCCACCTTGGACACAAGTCAGTGATGAACAGCTAGATTTGAAAATGGCCCAGACATCTCATTGTTCTGGTTTTCCTGGCTATTAAGCTGCAAAGCATTGTAAAATCCTTCCACGGTTCACCTTTCAAAAAAATAAAGCAACTCTAATAAAGGATCAGTTCCACTTTCTTCAAATTTTTATTACTATATTATTGCAAATTGGACCTATGGGAAAGAAGGTAATGAGGTTGGCTTAGCCCCTTTTATCTCTCAACAGCTAACAGTAGTGAGGGTGATCCAGAGTTGGTAGCAGCTCCCTCACTTCATTCCCACTGTAGCCCCCAAGGAAATGCCACACATTGCTTTTTCTCTGCCTGCTCTCAGATTCTGTATTCCCAAGGCACTCACGTTAAAACGTTAGCTGGCATCATCTGTGATTCAGGTGCTGCCTCTATCAAGGACTGCCAAGTGTTTGTGGAGTTAGGAATCACAAAACCGAATTCAAAGAACCATTCTGCAAAGTAAAAATAAGATCGAGAGGCATTTGAAAGAAGATAAAATCCACACATGACCCTTTTGCTTTTCACCTGACAGGCTGAGGAAGTCCCTAGACTGTCCTGCTGTGCTGCCAACATTTTACATTTATGTTACTTCGTACAGCTTAAACTGCACCGAACCCTGCCCTCCTCTTGGAGCAGATACTCCCTCTCTGAAATAGCTGATGGTAATGATAAAGTCACACCACTTCCTTAGCATTCAGTGGAAACCACACCACACCTAATTATGAGCAGGGAAGCCACACTCTCACTCTTGCAGACATCCCCGGGATCCAGTTTAGATTAAGTGTACAACTGGCTGCCCAAAGACAAGGGGCTCAATGTTTTATCTCCCCTTCCTCCACCCCAGATCAAGAGTAATAGCACAGTGAGGGAGGTCAGAGGTGCAGCTCGGGAGTCACACAGACAATACTCAGTGGCACTGCTGTAACCAAAGTAAACCAGAGGCTCCTTTAGTCCAGCCTCCAGTCTGGCAGTGGCCAGCACTAGGTGCTTCTGAGGAAGACGCATGAACCCTTGTAATGAGTGACTCTAAAATAACCTGTTCCCTTGCCTCAGGCAGCCTGAGGTGGATTTATGCCCTGAAGCATGATTACCCAGATTTTTTCCTTACATAACGAAGTGTTAATACACTTATGAAATGCTATCGCTAATGCTGTGCCCCATTAGTCCTGACAAGATGTGTGCTTCAGCACTACTCTGGAAAATTAAAATCACCACGTTCAACCAGTTTCAGTCTTGTTAATCCCCGCCGCGCTGGGGGTCCCTCCCTGTGCTGCAGCAGGACTGCTCAGAGCAGATGCGTACCTTCTAGACACTGCCCTTTGAAATAAACTTTCTGTTCCAGGCGGAATTTTTCCATTTGTTCTGCTGAGGAGAAGTTTAACTCCCGAGACACTGCTTTGCATTTCAGGATTTTTTTAGGAACTCGAGCTGTGAAACAGATAAAAAAGCATTATTTGGACACAATAGAATCATAGAATCAACTAGGTTGGAAAAGATCGATGATCATGAAGTTCAACTGTTACCCCAGGACTGTCAAGCCCACCACTGAACCATGTCACTAAGGCAAACTGATCTCCCCTCATGATCTCCAGGCACAGCCACTCCTCATCTACCCCCCACAATGGCTCACACTGTATAGCTGCCACCTCTACCCCTCATGGCCACCCCTCATCTCCCCTCAAGATCTCCCCTCATGGCCATGCCTCACAGTCCACCACTCCTCACAGCCCATGGCTGCCCCTGCTCTCACCTCACGATCTCCTCTCACAACCACCCCACCACTCCCCTCGTGGCTGCCCCTGCTCTCCCCTCAAGCCATCTCTCATGGCCATCCCTCCTGTCCCCTCACGATCTCTTCTCATGAAAGCCCCAAGTCTCTCCTCATGATCTTCCCTCATGGCCACCCTTGCTCTCCCCTCACGACCGCCCCACCTCTCTCCTCATGATCTTCCCTCATGGCCACCCTTGCTCTCCCCTCACGACCGCCCCACCTCTCTCCTCATGATCTTCCCTCATGGCCGCCCCCTGCTCACCCCTCCCGATCTCCTCTCACAAATGACATTTGTAGGAGTGAAATCCAAGATGCAAATAGGTTAAATGCCTTGCCTAGAGCCAGGGATGAAATTTGTGACAGAACACCACTGATCTCTCAGATTCCTGGCTCTAAGCTGTTTCTTACTAAACCTCACAACTCTTCAAGTTAAAAGATGAGATGCAACTTGAATTTTTTCTTCAGGAAGTGTGCTGAAGATCACAAGCAGCCAAAGGGCTGCATAGTACAGCTGGTGTGTTAGCCCTCCTCACTTCTCCTTCCCTTTCAGACTGTATATCCCCTGCAAACCACAAAGGGCTACTTCTGAAGCTCAGCAGCACTGTTACAGCCACCTCACACAGCTCTGGGAAGTCGTCCTGTACAAGTGTACAAAATGCCTGTCCCTCCAGCACTGAGACCCACACAGGCAGTAAAGTCAGCACCAAACTAGAGGTTTAGAGAGTAATTTGGCAGTCCAGGGTTTCTGGGCTCTTGCAGTCCGTGAGACACCAACAGCAAGTGGCAAACTGTACCTGGTAGATACTTCATAAGGCTTTTTTTATAAGTGAAGGAGTAAGAGAAGGGACGGTTTGGGAGCAGTGATTAATATGCTGCAAGGTCCTAATCGGGAGAATAAAGGAGGGAGTCAATATACTAAAAACATCCCAAGCTTGTCATGCTTCAGTGGTGTGATTGTACATATTCCTTCCTGCATATTAAGAAAATGTTTCATGTAAATTTATTAGGAATAAAGAGGGGAGGGAATACAGCTGGCATGTGCTTTATGAGCCAAACTGTTCTTAAATGGAAAGCATATCAAAACATCCATAAGCAGACAGCAGGCTGCTGTTTAATCAAAGGAAGAGTCTACCAAACCCCAGTCAAATCCATCTGATGCAGAACAGTTTAATGGAGTAGGACTTTGATGAGAAACCAATTTAGAGAGCTGGAGGGTTAGGGAATATAAGCTACCATCCTATCCCATGGAGAAGTACACAGCCCATGGTCCGTTAAAAACAAATTAAATTAAAAAAAAAGAGGTAAAAAGAAAATTTAAAGTGTAAGAGAAGAATTTTAAATATAAAAGGTCTCTATTTTTAATCCTTTTTGTTGTTTGCGTTTTTTTTTTTAGCACAGAAATCTGCATGGCACCATCCCTTACTGCCCTCACAAGTACAGACTACAGCCTGTTGTGAATAAATATCCCTTTGCAGTTAAGTGTAAAATGACTTGTTAAAACTATTCTGCAATTTAGTAATTACATTTCTTTCATCCTCAAGACAGACTGCTAAGAATGTTTGTTTTAATAATGTAAAACTACAAATAAAAGGTTACTTTAGAAAAGTGGGGCTGTGTAGTCTTTGAACATCTGGTCTAAGAGATTTTATTTTATATTTATGCCATCAAGCAGAAAATGATAATTGAAATTATTTAAAACTCATTTTTCTTTCACACCTCTTCTTTTTCCATTAAAAAGACAGAAGAGAAAGCAGTTTGATTCGCATCAGTTAGGTTCATACTAAACTATGCTGAAATGCAGGTAAGCAGCAAATTTATCCTAAATTTACTACTGCTTTTTTTCTAACTTGAGTATATACTTATACCTGCATATTTATTTAAGCTAACACACATTCAGTCAGATATTTAATTCTGGTTAGAAAGTGATGAATGACACATTTCTTATTTACTAAGCAAATCATTTTGGGTACAACCACGTTTACTTAGAAAATGAAATTCTATTAAAATACCCGTATCATGTTTTCATGTAGTTTAATGAAACTACCTTGAATATCTGGGACATATAAGAAAGGAAGCTATCTTAGCTAAACTTATTTTGTATTTCAAACTACATCTTTTCTTACATAATGAAAGCATTATTTGTATTTTCTGAATGAAAGCTGGCTCTGGTGACTGGGAACAGCACTGGCAATTCTGCAAGTGCTAGACCTCCGCAGTTTACTCCATTATGTGCTTGTATAGCAGAAGAAAACAAACTTTATGGATTTGCATCTCCCCGATTGCCTCCCACTTTTGAATGCACTGTCAGTGAATTGAGCTGACCGGGTACATAGAAAAGCTCCTGCTGTCAAAAGCTGGTTTAGAAGGTTAGTACCAGTTTCAGGTGCTCAGGCAGTGATTTCCACTATTTGTAGCAGTTTAATGTTCAGACTTCAGCAGCAATCCAATACCATGTTAATATTCTTTTTATTTAATCTAAGTGGTAAGTTTTATGTAGTAATACAGTAGTATCATGATTTAAAATTTAAGGTTTCATTTTTTAAAGAAACTTGTACTTAAATCAAATGGAAGTCCTGTTTAAAAAACAAACAGAAGTCCCATTTCAAGGAAATTCAATTTATTCATTCTGCTATATATTTGATTCTTTGTGATGTCTAGACTGTGATTTGCCCTGAATGACCATAGAACACACACACACAAGTACTATATAATGACTCTGAGGCATACATAGCCAACATTAGAGAGGAGATTTAGATTAGACATTAGGAAGTTCTTCCCTGTGATGGGGGTGAGACACTGGCACAGGTTGACCAGAGAAGCGGAGGCTGCCCCATCCCTGGAAATGTTCAAGGCCAGGCTGAATGGGGCTTTGAGCAACCTGGTCTAGTGGAAGGTATCCCTGCCCACAGCAGGGGAACGGAACTGGATGAACTTTAAGGTCCCTTCCAACCCAAGCCATTCTACGATACTATGATTCTGTTTGTCCTCACCATTTCTGTTGAAGGACTATACCAGAATCACGTTTCCCTATAGCTTCTTTTAATTCATAGTCAGATAATCCTTCTTTGTTGGACACCTCTCCCTTTTCTCAGCTCTTAGCCTATCTATTGAGAATAATCTATCCATCTCAGCCTTCTTTTCTCACTAAGCCATACAAGAACATCTTTTTTCCTCTCTTCTCCTAAGGAAGACTATTCTCCCATCTGTAATCTTTTCAGTGGCTTCTCCTAATAGCTCTTCTCTGCACCTGTTCCAGTTTGCAGTCATCCATCTTCTAAATGGATGAGTGAACTGCACACCACATAAGGTCTTAACAATTCCTTCTACCATGGGCATTAATCTCATGCCAGAGTATGTTTTAATTAATTCCCCAAGCTACTCTAATGGAGGTGAGGGTTCCTGTTTTATATGTGAGGAAAATCTGAGACACAGTGAGGTGACATGATCTGCCAAAAGTGAGAAAGATGGCAGGAGGGAAATGAGGCAACACAAAAACCCCTTCTGAGACACAGCTCCAGCTGTCCTTCCTGCCCCAAAGCGCACCTTCCTGTGGTTTCCATTGAACCACAGCAGCTCAGTGCTCCGTCAAGAGAGAGCTAAGAGGATTCAAAGACTAGCCATGCATCCAAGAAGAAGCTTTTACAGCACAAAGTCTGGCAAGACTGGGAATATTTTTATCTGATTTTCTTCTGCTTTCTAGAGCCTGTTTCCTCATTTCTCCTAGGTCTCCTGTTACACAGTTATTTCTAGAAGGCAAAACACCACTAACCTGCAGTCTAAGAAATTCCGTATTAAGATGATGAATTCCCACATTTCTCTTAAAAGATGTATTTCAATTGATTTCCTACAGTTGTAGGTGTTGGAATGTTTTTCTTTAATGTAGATATCTTATACAATAGGCATAAGTAAGTATCTGCTAAGGTCTATTAGCAGAACTGTTTGCTGTTAGTGGTGGTAGGAGAATGGGAGTACAGGTTAGCAAGGCTGAAAGAAACAGCTTGAAAAATGCTTTTGGTAATCACTGAGCCACAGCTCTGCTTTCCTCTAGCTCTGACCCACATCTTCTACCCCTTGCATCAGGTCCTTCTTAAACTGAGATATACTACTGGTCCTATTAATGAACTGTTGTCACAAAGCAGATGAACGTTGGCTGCGGACCAAATGAGAAAGTAACTTGTTTCTCTTGTGCCTTCAGTGGGCTTTGAAACCAGGTATATTGCTGGAAGACTACTGGACTCACAGAGTTTTGCCACAGATCTTCTGTATGCTCTCTGGGCAGAGGAAGATCTTTATATTCTGGCTGCCTCCTTCAGATACAGCAGATTTTCCAAATTAGGAAAGGTAAGTCCTAATAGTGACAGGCAGAACTCAGTCCTTGATGTTTAACTAAAAATAAATCAATGTCACCAGCATAATTAAATGATCAAGTTCAATTCACTTACTGGAGATCAGCTACAGTACTCACATAATAGAAAAGTCTTCAAAATTAAGTCAGTGAGGTCAGACTCTTCCCAGAGCCAAAGCAAAGCACTTGGCAAAGGACACTACCTATCACAGTGCTTTGTCACAAAAAAATAGGGAAGAGCAAGGGACTGTAAAGTCCTTTGCTAATCAGCAAGGACAGAGTAGAAGCGCAAGAGGTGTTCTAGCAGTGGTAGAAGGACAGGAGAACAGAGCAAATGTACCATGTGCACCACTTTAAAGCACAGGTCAAATTTAGTGTGTGGCTAGGCAGGGTAGTAACTGTGCATGCTTCTTCCCCACTGGTTCTCCATTTGACCTCTACCTTGACTGAATCCTGTTGTTATACTGAGAAAAGTTAATATATTTTTATACCTTCCATTTTGGAACTAACACTTAACTTAGCAAAGGTCAGCCAGTTACTCCTTACCCAGCTTGGTTCACTGCTTACCGCTGTTCAACTTGTCTGCTTTGCCAGCCCCTGACTCACTCTCACCTTTTTTTGTGGAGTGTGCCCCCAGATTTTTGTGGTGGAAGCCTCTGAAGGTGCGAGGTCAAAGCCAGGACATCTGGTCCTTCAAAGCAGGGATATGCTCACAACTCTGGTGACCTAGATATGCAGCACTACCCAGCCCCAAATGCACAACAAGGGCACACAGTACCTTCATGCTCCACTCCAGGTACAGACAGATCTTCTGTTCCTTGCCAAAGGATCTTCCCTGTTTCTGCATCCCGAAGGTTCATCCAGTTTCTGATTGGGAAGCCATTAAGGAAAAGAAGCTATCTAAATTTCCTAAACGCTGTGCCTAGTATTCTTTGCTAAGCCCTGAAATAAGTTGCTCCAGCTGAGTTTCAATCATGTTTTCCGATTCTCAGGAGGCCAAGAAAGAGACGCTTTTTTCCCTGAAAATAAATGAACAAACCAACCCTTGACCAGAATGAATTCAACAAGAGTTGGATAGTCACAGATCTAATTTTCACTTTCAACTGAAGCTTGTTAACCTCATTTATCATTTTCCATTGCTTCTAAAGGATAAAGGCAATGCCACTGTGCTGCAGAGAAGCAAGAACATTGCTAACAACAATAATTCTACACAAACAGCCGCTGTTCTCTGGCATTTGAAAAATGCTAGGTAAAGAAATGCTTCCTATAGAGCATTAGAAAAAGAGTAACACTCAACTGAGTTTGTTTTCCTAGCTTACAAAGTATTAATATAAAGGGTTGTTCTATTGCTGTTGACCTGGTAACTGCCACTCATGGGAATTCTTCAGCTGCTGAGTGCTAAGCAAAGTGAGATCCTCTCTTTTCATTCTCGGCAAGTGCCAGCTTTCAAAAAACCCAGACCAGCGAATTTATCATTAAAGTTATAGACAAGCATGAAATATTAGTATTTTCAAAGGGACAATTAATAATTAACTTTAGCATACCTTTGAAAAATGTCTCCCATCACACAATTCAGACATCAAGACATCAGGACAAGGAGCCTGCATACCTGCCCCATGCCATTTTGAATAGGAATACAGCCTAAGGTCCCACAGCTGCCTCCTGCTCTGCAGCTCATCAGCGTGGCTCCGAGGAGTCACTGGCACAAACACAAACAGCCTGAATACAGCAGGATCTGTGAGTTACGGCTATGAAACGAGTGCCTTTCCACCTGTTTCCTTTTGCTGGTTTAGTGCAACCTTTGTACTCAGTACTTCCTAGGCAAGAGACTGGAGACTATCTGGGAGAAGGGGAGAGGCCAACTGCTGAAGGAACTGACTGGGGAGGTAGGTATAAATAGGAGCTGTCAGAGATACGCATATTGAACTCATCCTCTAACAGACACAGTTTCCAAGCAGGCTCACACAAACTCGTCACATTGATCAAATTCTTCCAGAGCTCCAAGGAAGAAACAGATGCTTTAGCAAATTTTGCATTGCAGAGTAACATTTGTTTTAAAATTATGTGTGTGGAGGAGGGAAGGGAAGGTGGCTGCGTCAGTGCAGATGTGAGCAGAGTTTCCCTTCCTGAAGGCTGGCCAGACTTTCTGTGTCCCACTGAAGGGGCAAGAGAGGGAAGAAAGCTGGGAATATGTGCACAGGGTCTGCTGACACAGGCATGGCATTGCAGCTTCCAAAACTTAGCAACAACAGCCAAGAGGGAGCATCAGGCAGTCTGCTCAAGTCCTTCTAGACTTGTTCTGAAACACATAGTATCTACCATTGCTTCTGGGATTAAGGCAAAAGTGAAAGGGGGAGAAGATGGAAAGCATCATTCCCGGAGGGCCCCATATGCAACATCCATATCCCAGCAGAAAGCTGGAAAGTGGAGATATCTCCACAGCTAGCAAACCAAGGCAGACAGGGGCTGTGGGCAGGCAAGTCAGAGAGAGATGAGCAGCAGCATGGCAAGAAGAACCTGCAGCAGGGCTGGGCATTTCACATGGTGCTGGCTGGAAAACTTAGTTTCCAGCCAGTGCAACCTGCAGGATGGAACTGCCCCAACTGTATTTTAAAATGCCCCAAAAAATCCACCATTTTTCAAAACATCTTCCCACAGACACACATACAAACCAGCCAGGGTGAAGCTATTTACATTTAAAGCAGCATGCAATCTATCATATGCCATGTACGAGGGAAAAATAACAGATGAGACAATCTGAGCATCTCACTGACAAATTCATTTATCTTCGTAACACCCCATGATGCAAACACTTTTCACTATTAGCTGTAGGGTAATTCAGTAGATTGGGTACTTGATTATCAAAACCTGTATTACCTTTAAAAAATTATCCCGCTCAGAAGTTTATTTACTTTCTATTTATTCACTATTGATTATCAGTGGGAGTTCTGAGCTCACAGGCCTAGCCATAGGCTGTGTAATGCCAAACTGAGAGGTAGACAAGTTCCTCTGAACTGGAGATAAAACACTAACCAGAACAGCAAACCTAGCAAAGGAACTGATCCAGGCTCCCAAATGCTGTATCAGTACTCTAACTAATGGACTGCCTTCCTTTTTCCTTGTCATGCTTTGCCTTCCTGTCCCTCTAATAATATTTAAAGTACTCTGAAATCACATTTAACCATTTTCAGAAGTATCACATTAGAACTGCCCTTCAAAGAGTACATATAGCCTCACAGCTTAATTATTAACCTTAGTTGAAATGCATAGTTACAGACTGATAGTCACCTGCTATTTCTGGTAAAAGAAAACACACTGCAGGCTACTATCTCTGCCACTTCTCCCTACAAGGATTCATCTCTCAGTCCAGTCTGAGAGAGATGATGCAGGTTACACTGGCATACTGAACAATGCTAGATCTGCTAACATTTTGGGTGTTACACTTCTCTAAAATGCTGCCAGACTTTACTCCGTATTGACTTTCCACTGTAAGCATAAATCCATGCAGGACAACTTGCCCTGGGCTTTGCACTCTTACTGTCAAATTAAAGATGAAGAATAAATAAAAAGCTCAAGACTATATCCCTGGCTCACGAGAGCATACAGGTCAGCAGTGCATGCCACAGTTCCCATAAAATATCTTTTATTTAAACAATCTGTGCATTGCTAACCCATGTAAATTTCTTATCAAATGAAAAAAGGTTTAGTATCAGGGTAGCCAAAGGCTTTGCTACCTAGATAAATGCATGTGCAGGTTCAGGACATGATGTTTCAGCTTCTGCAAATGAAAAAATTGAAATCAATCTACTTTTCAGAGTGTATCCACACAGTTAAAATATCTGAAGGGATGAAATACTCTAGCCAGTCCACAAGTTTCTTCCTAATAGGTAAGCATTAAAAACGAAGACAAATCATCAAATCTTAAAAGTGCAAACACACAATTATCTTCTGTTGGAAAGAACACTTCACGTTCAAGAGATTAGTTGTTCATATTTTTTTAAATAAACATTTAAAAAGAAAGAGACATCTGAATAAAATCCTCAGTCAAAATCAAGAAAATTGGTAAGACTTAACTGTAATGGAATTAAAAAAAAAAAAGGCAAACCCCATTACAGGTGATTTTTTGGCAAAGGAACACCTGACAAAAGCAGGAGCTGTACTGCTTACCTAGTTAGCAGCTTATCTCACTATTTCTGTCATCTTGGATAGAAAGGCTGGTACTAGGACATACCCCAGAGTGAGGAAAATTGAGATCTTGAACCAAACCCACACACAGAGTTATCTTCTAATGTGTTTAATTGGTTTAAGATTCTTCCATCCCAGCATGAGAGATACTGTTACTAAAAATAAAAAGTGCTCTGTCTCCCAAGCAGCAGTGGAGACCTGCAGGCAGGATGAAGAGGGCATTTTAAGTATTATTGAAAAGGAGAAAGTAAATTAATATAGGTTTAACACAATTACTCTTTGAAGAGGCTTGTCAAGCCACTTGGCAGGGGTAGCTAAGGAGAGCAAGTAGAGCCAGGCAGTTACAGTTTTGTGAAGTTAATATATTCAGGAAAAAAAAAAAAGAACAATAGTATATTCCTAATTCAGCTCCTCATTCTAACATTCCAAAATCACAAGATCTCTCTTAGACCATTAAATTTTCATTCTCCTGGATTTATTTTATTTTTTTTAGTAGGAAACAATGTGTGATTTAAGACTCGATAGATCAAACACTCTTCAGTCCTGAAGGCAAGGAAGGATTAGGTAGAACAGCAGAAGGAAGGGTGTACTGTTGATCTATTTATATTCCACCACCTATTGGGTCAGCAAAGTCTTACATAAAAGCTTTGTAGTAGCTGGAATTTGACTTGCTTTATATACATGACATGAATTAGCTTCCTCTCAGGCCTACTTTGCTTAGCCTGATGAAGAGAAATGATTTGTGCAGTTCTAAATCCAAGTTTTGTTGTCTTGAATACCTCTGATCTCAGAACAGAAATTCTTTCTTTTTTTTATCTGTCACAGAGATCACTTTGTTCAAACAAATCAAAATATACATACTTTAAGTGCTTTAGGGTTGCAAAAGATTCCCATATATTGCCACACTGGTAATTAAGAATAACCTTGAAGGAAGAGAATGAGTACAAACAAAAATAATCATTAAAGTAGTACAGAGTTAAAGAAGTTCTGCCCCAATCTCCCTGACCATTTTTGTATGTTGTTATTTTAGGACTTCTTGAATATCTCAAAGGCTGCAGCAAACAGTAGGTGCCATCTCTTCCATTAAACTAGTCCATTTTTCGTTTTATTCCTTGCTGTCTACACCATTCTAAAAGCTTAGGAACTGCTGTATTCTTCATAATAAGGGCACACCCTAATGTTCATAAGCACACCTGGAAGGGAAGGTCTTTCATCATCTCTGACTTTTTTTCCTTTTTTGTACATAAATGCAACATTAAGACCAGTTCACTACATGCCAGAGGCAAACAGGATCTCAACAATTAAGTGCCAATGAGAATTGTCCTATGAAACAAATGACAGAGAGAAGGTGGCAAGGTGGAGCTGAAAGCCCTGAACAATTCAGACTTACACTCTGTGGCAGGCTCAGAAAAGCTTCTGATTTAGATTGCACAACTTTCACTCCTGATTTTACACTGTCTGTCGTGGAAAGCAGACACAACCAGGCACTCATGACATGGGTAAGCATGTTACTTTGAAGAATGTTACAGATAAGTAAGACTCATTTATATGAGTCTTTAGGGATTATATTTTTATCAGACATATTTTCCCAGGAGAATATTTGCATCTCAGTTGCTTCAATCTAGTTGGCGGAGTAAGGACCAAAAATAAGTTATGCAAAATAACTACCAAACTACAGGATT